CCCGTCCCCATCCTGGGGTCTACTAAGACCCACAGCGTCTCCTCATGAAATCAGCTAGCTCCAGTAGAGAAAGTGTTTCTTCCCGAGGAGGGAGAAAGGAGTAAAGTACAGGGGGGAGTGGAGGAGTGACAGAACAGGGTATCAAAGGAGAGCAGGCAAGACAAGAAAGTAGACTTCCCTTCCGGTGAGTGAGCGCCAGCGATGAATGAGGGCAGAAAGGGACAAAAGTCCTGTTACGGCTGAGCTGTGTGCTCCCACACCCTGGAAGCCATAACAAAGCCCTGCTACCCAGTGTGGGCTTTGGGGGATGATATGTTTAAATGGGGACCTAAGGTAGGGTCTTCATGACAGGACCAGAGCTCTTAGAAGAAAGCAGAGAGCTGTGTACCTCTTCTCTCCTTCCTGGGGGAGAAGAGGCCTCTTCAGACCAGAAAGACAGCCCCACTTTGGACCAATGGGCCCTCCTATGTAGCCTTCTTGACCTCCAGGATTGTAAGAAGTAAACGTCCTTTCAAGCTGGGTGCAGTGACTCACTCCTGTAATCCAGGCAACTCAGAAGGCTAAGATCCAGAGGCTCACTTGAAGTCAGCCTGGGCAACCAAAGCCTGCTAGACTCCATCTCCAAAATATCCAGCAATCAGCAAGGGCTGGAGGCATGGCTCAAGCGGCAGAACACCAGCTGAGTGAGCAAGCTGAGCAACCACAAGGCTGTGAGATCACACTCCAGCCCTGACCCCTTCCCCCACCAAAAAAAAAAAGTCCTACTAAGTGATTCCATCCATCCTATTTTGCTACCTCAGCCCATGCTCATCCAAACAACCCCTTCCCAAAGCTGGCTTTCTATCAAGGGTGTGCTGGGGCAGTGGAAGGCTGCGTGTCAATGTCCAGCCTTAGCTGGTCACACGCAGGCACTAGGTCATCTTACACCTGTCTCCAAAGCGAGACCTCTAACGGGCAGCGGATGAATATTTACCTGCAAGTGTTGGTGGCAATCACCAGCACTAACAGTGAGGTCCTCAGTAAGTGATGGCTCTTCTTAACACCACCAGAGGTCCCTGGGGACAAGTGACTGGCGGGTGGCAAAAGAAGAGCCTTCTCAGGCTGCTGTCACCACCCTGGGGGCCATGCTGAGGGCAGGACTGCAGCTGTACCCCCTGGGAAAAGCACCCCTGCCTGGCGGCTTTCTCCCCTCCCCAGAATTCAATGTGAAGACTTTCTTTTCTCTGTGTTCCCTTGTGCGAATAAAGGTTGGCACACTGGCGTGCGGGAGGTATGATGCCCAGGAACTAGGATTCTGTTCTCAGGTTCCAGAACCTTCTCCCACTGCTAACGCATGCAGCACAGAGCAGGCACCAACCAAGTAGGCACTGGGGCTGCCCCGGGCATTGGAACTGTTTTGCTAAGGCTCTCACAGAGGTGGGGGTGGGCTGAGTTTTGTCTACAGGGGACCTGGAGGTTCAACCCCATCACCTGCCAGGTCCCTGGAGATCCCTCCGCCGCCCTTGTGTGCTCCTGAGCTCAGGATCCTCCTCTCTTCATGTTTCCAGCGTCTTCCATCCCTGCCCAGAGTGTCTGATAAAGTCTAATCCTCCTCATTCCAAAATGCACTAGAGATTCAACCAAGGTTGCCTGATGATACCTTTGATGGAGAGAAAAACAAAAACATGTTTATTTCCCCTTTCTGACATCTCCAGTCTTAGCTGGTTTTCACCAAAGGTACAAAGAATGAGATGAGGGTCTCCGGGAGGGAGGGAGGAGCAGGTGCAGCTGGGTGGGGACACTCTGCTCCAGATCCCAACTGGAGACTGAAAAAGACAGACAGACATGAGAGATGGACAGAGAGCGAGAGAGAGCAAGAGAGAGCGAGCAAGAGAGAATACAGACACAGAAAGAGAGGAGTGTGTTATGCAATTTGTGTATCAGGTGTACATTCTGGCTTCCAAATGCCTTCATGCCGCCGCCAGCCCAACCCCAGAGCTGGGCTCCACTGGGCGGTGAAGTACTTGGTTCTATTTTTAATGGCAGTCCAGAAGCTGTTTGGCAAAGGGCAGGGTGACATGGTGGGAAGAGCTTTGTAGTGAGAGGGAGGCTTCAGTCTGGCGCAGCGGCCTCCTACCTGGCCACCTCTGGGTAAATCCTGGCAAACTCTCTGGCCTCATTCCCTCTCTCGCAGAAGGTGTGAAGCCGGCCCCTGCCTGGCTTGGACCAGGCACTTGAGTGTTCTGACACTTGTCCCATGGAGAAGCAGGTGTGGGGCCTGGGAGCTGTGTTTTGGGAGGTGGAAGGAGGCGGAGGTGAGATTGGCCCCCTGAGAGGCTGGGCACAGAGCTGTGTGTGTGCCCCAGACTCGGCTCTCCTAGGCCACCGTTTGTGGGAAACACCCCTGAAATGGAACAGGCCGTTCACCACTTAGCAGCGAATTCATCAGAGTCCTGAGCTGCGCCGCATTTGCTATCTGCTGCAGTGCTCAGCCCGGAGGTTTGATCTCCGCCCCCCCACCCCTTTCCTCTTTTTCTCTCAGTTTGGATGTAATGCTTTGGAGGTGCTTTGCTGGAGAACAGGTGGAAATCATGCATTTTACACACAAAAGCCAACATGGAGGTAGCTCACCTTCTCCTTCTCCCTCCCTGTCCCCTTTCCCTGGGAGGAGTAGCCCAGGGTTCGTGGGAGCTCTCCGGGTCTCAGCCCTGGTCCTGCTGCTAGCATCAAAGGAGGTGTCAGCGGGCTCTGGGAGCTGTCAGTTTCCATGGCCTCCATGAGGGAGTGTGTTATCGGATAAGTTCCCACCCAGCTACGGCCATTAGAAGCCCTGAGCTTTGGGGGGGGGAGGGGGAGATGACAGTGGCAGCCCAGTTCTTTCCACTAAGCCATCCAACCCTCCCCTCCACCCCCTCCCCTCCATGGCTCTGTCATGCCAGAGGAGCCAGCTGCCCAGATCAGCGAGGGGTTCTCTGGATGAACAGTGCAGTGCGAAACGGCTCGGGGGCAGCTGGCAAGATGCTAAGTGCGCCATCAATCCTAATTAGGATGAGGAATTAATAAAGGAGCATTGGAGTCACCAGACAGGCCAGGCTTCCCAGCGGAGGAAAGGAGTCCGTTCCAATTTCCGCTGGGAAAGTGCAAAGGCTCCAGGTCCAAGGAGTTTCTTGGGGGTGGGGTGGGGGGCGTGGAGAGAGGGGGTGTGGGGGGCCAGTGGCTGTGGGGCTGGGGAGGTGTCACACGGGGAGGGGGTGTGTGAGCGAGCTCAGGTGTGGTGGCATGCTCTCCCTGGGGAGGGAGAGGAGTAGGTGTTCGTCATCCGAGCAACTGCACAGCTCACAATGATGTTTTTCCAAAAGAGAAGCGGAGGGCGTGATCGTGGGCCCACCGGCTCCTTTGTGTGGCTGTGATTTCCCCCACAGAGCTGCTACCTAAAGGATCCGCAGAGACTTGACTTCAAAGCTCCCAACCTGGAAGGGAGGTGGGGTGGGGAGGGGGTGGGGGAGGGGGAGGAGGAGGAGGGCTGGGGGGGGCAGAGGGTGGGGACCAAGGGGCCAAGTTGGACTTGGCGAGCTTCCGTTCACAGGACTCCATCCAACCTCACCCCGCGGAAGGAAGGGCCGTGTGTCTGGGCCCCGCCTCCACTGTCCCCAGGTCCCGCCAAGCCGGAGGGGGTGGGGGGGACCTTGGAG